GTTGACATTTACAAGTGTTTTATATATATTATGAAATGTTAAAATACATTTCTGCTCTATGAATAAATTCATTACAACATTTGACTCAAGTTTTTATTAACCTCTTACCCTAAGTGTTAATATTTCTCATCCTATTGGGAGCAATAGGACACATTCCCCACATTAGCTTCTAAGAGGTCACTGATTTGTTTCTAGTTTGTCTGGTCACTAAGAGTTGGCACAGAGTTACCTTCATAAATGATTCAAGGTAATGGGAAATATTAAAATTAAATAAATAACAGTAAAAATGTGGCTCCACAAGTGAGAAATGTTCACTAGAATATCACTTCTCAGGGGAATCATCCCACTTAAGCCATTCATTGAAAGTTGCTTCAAGGACATTCTCACAGGAAAGAAGCATAGCTGTTGCATGCCCTAAGGGTGGTTTTTTGAGGTGGCTGGGGAGTGTTGGGGAGGCGGGTAAGAGATCAATCGAAGGACTTATATGAATGCATATAAGCATAACCAATGGACACAGACACTGGGGTGGGGTGGGGTAAGGGCATTTGCTGGGGGGTAGGGGAGACCAGGGGAAGGTCAATGGGGAAAAAAGGGAGACATATGTACTACTATTTGTAATACTTTAAACAAGAAAATAAAATTTAAAAAAATAAATAAAATATATAGTGTGGACTCTGGAAAAGCTCAGGATGACTTTGCCAATAACAAGATTTTCCATAGACCTCAGGTGGCTAAGTAATATTGGTTTAAGACATAAGCAGGTACACATATTTTAATTACACTTCCGTGCCATACCACTAAAACATATTCACCATAATTTGATATTAAGAATTATTATCTAAAATGTTACATCACTTCCTATAGCCACATCAGTACATTCTATAAAGAGGACACATATGCATGGATGATAAATATATTTATGATTATGCAGGAAAATAATCTCTTCTTTTCATTTTTAAAAATTTCTTTTTATTTATTGATTGATTTTTTTTAGAAAGAGAGGAAGGGAAAAAGAAAGAGAAAAAAATATTGATTTGTTGTTCCACTTATTAATGCATTCATTGGCTGATTCTGTATGTACCCTGATCAGGGACCAAATCTACAACTTTGGTATCTCAGGACTATGCTTCAACCATCTGAGCTACCCCACCAGGGCAAGCCCCTCTCCTTTTTAAAGTACCATCCATTTTTTGTCTCTAAACCCTAGACATCCCTCTTTCTGAGCATCTGAGTTTCTCTCCTAGCTCCCTAAAGAGTCTTACTTCAAAAACGTTCTTCTTCTTTCTCCTACCTTTTCCTTTCTTCTCTCACTCACCACTAGAGTCTCCCCACTATTCTTTATCTCTACATAAGCATAATAAGTTTTTATCCTTTCAAGAGGGTAAATAATTTCCTGGTACTTTTCTACCTCTTGTATATCCAAGCTCTAGAAAACTGATAAACATTCAAAATGCAGAACCACCACCTAAATATTCTACACCACCTTCTTATTTGTCTATTGATCTGCCCCTCTCATGAAAGTAGAGTTTCCTGATATTTGGATTTAGCATGAGTCCTCTTTGACATCATACATCCTGGAATCAGAATTAAAACAAGTTAAAACTGGAAAAGCTCTTGTCAATAATCCAATCCTTACATGTAAAGATTATTAAATTGAGGTTCAGAAAAATGAAATGCCTTGCTTAAGAAAACAAAGAGTCTCTCTACTATCTCTTGGTTTGCTATTACTTTATCTTTGCTTTTCTCTTTCTGCTCTGGCTTTCTGAGTTTGATTCCTTGTCACTCAAACAGTATTTGTTTTGGATCTTTGCTCCCTATCTGGATTTGGGCTGTTACTCTACTGATTACAGTATGCTAATCCCTTGACTTGGGATGTCAATCAGGTTGTGTTCCTGGGCTGCTCACCAGCCTCAGCCTGGTATAATCTAGATTCTAGTTTGAGCCTTAGGTTTTGCCATCCATCTATGACATACAGATCTTATTTTCTCTATCATGCCATGATCAGTTGGTTCAGTGACACAGACTTCTATAAAACAGTGCTAAAAAATTACTTCCTTCCTCTGAAGGCAATTATGTCTAAAGAGGTGAATATGGATCCATCAGCTTAGAAAACAAAGACATAAATGTTCTCTGCTTGGTGAAAATCACTGAACTGTAAAATGGGCTATGTTCAAGCCATATAAATGCCATCTCTAAACATATCATATTATCATCCATCAAGAAACCCTAAGCAATCACATCTGAGTAAATGTGACATGGCCTCTTCCACAGCTAAAATTTCTACTGGGCCTATGAGATAACAAAATAAATTTACTGAAACTCACAAGCATGATGACAATGGAACAATATTTTAAACACCGCATTATTTTAATT